TGTGAACCCTTCATAATGTTCCATGCAATTTTTCCAAAGTAAGACTAACGAACTTCGTCCGATAATATGCAACCGCCATGTCCACACCTTTCGACCGCAGCTCTTTCGTGTATGCATCCACAGCCTCTATGATTTGACGTATTTGCCCACGTATTCTGTCCATCCTCGCCTCACAACTTTGCTCAGCGTTAGTCAGCGCCCGCATAACCATTGAATCGCATCGTACGTCAATGGCAGATCCAATGTGCTAGTTGACTCAGGTTGCCTTCGACTTCTCTAGCGTGTCACAGCCTTTCAACTCGTGGGACACGAGAGTTGGAATTTGGCGAACTCGCACGGTCTGAGTCCCCTTTTGTGTCCAAACGATGACGTCTACATGATGTACACATATTTGTAGTGCTCCACTGCCGTCATTGACGGTGGAATTGTTAGCACAGGTTCTTGCGACCACGTAAGTGACACGCCAAACTGTTGCATTACTACGCGTTCCAGTTATGTCTATTTTGCGTTTTGGCACAAGTTTCTGCAGAAATTGTTGACCTTCATGACATCCAGCACGTTATTCCCCTCCAACTAAAATATTTTTCTCTTGTCATTAACCAAATCGATGGGCGTGCCGAGCAACCATCTACACATCATTGCTCACACCGCATCGGCTCGCTGTGTGAGCAATGAGCACAGCATCCCCTAATTGTGGAGTTCGTTGGAGAGCTATTAAAGCAGGCGAACATCGGGACGCAGTCATTGCCAAGCCGTAAGCCTGCACCCCAGCATGATAAAAAACCGAACGATTCTTCGAGGGTGCAAAATTCGACACACCAGAAATAGTCATGTTTGCAGTTAAGCAAAGTGAATGAAGTGGGAGAGCATTGCAAAGGCAAACGCGGTTTTGGGTGCAACAATCATCATTATGACAAAAGATGGAGAGGCTGCCAATTACAGGAACTTAATTTTGCTGAAGGAATTGGATGGCAGACATGCAGGAACAGATCTGTCGTTGGCATTTTGCAGCACCGATGTGGGGTATAGATCCGCCATGGTAAAGTCTTTCGCACATTGGTTGCGCTGACACGAGCACCCCTTGGGACACGCGTTGCAACTAAGTCCGAATTCATACGGTCTTTGATCACCTTCATTTCCACTAGAGCAATAGAACAGTTCATAATGTGCAGCAAAGGTGAGGTGATGAGTTAAAGTGGACAAATGACACATACGCC